GAACACGACCCCGCTTCCTGCATGCACACCCGTGGCCTCGATAACGAATTGGTTCTTACTTTTTAGATAGCTCTAGACAGCAGCTCCTGAGTCCAGACCATGTACCCGTCTTCTTCCAAATGCTCTACGACATAACCTGTATGGTTCGGGTCCTGCCAAGATGTTATGCGCCAATTGTTCAGATATCGATCTCATTGCGATCTTGCAAGGCAATCACGAAGGCATACCGCTAAAGAAGGGACATGAAGTGTGGATCACAAGATCTTCTGACCCTACCACTATCTGGATATGGAAATCGCAGTCTGGTTGCGAGTTCTGTGAGTTCATTTTGGCGACAAAGGTCAATTTATTCCCGCGAAACGACTCGCTACAACCACGCTATCTCCAACTTGACCGCGGAAAAAGCCTGATGAGAGTATTCACGAAGTCTGGGCCCGTGACGAAGCTGTCGTCTCATGTCAATATATTCTATGACTTTGAAGACAGAAAGCCCGAGCTCCAGGTAGCTAGCCATCCTAGCTTGGTAGTTCCCTTCGGTGTGTCCGCGGAGATCAAAACTCCAGAGCTTCAACCGTCCCCGCTACGAGTAAACGAAGTTCCGACCTGGCTTGAATCCAGCGCTACGAGACAACACCTACAGAACTGCTTAACCCATCATAGTACCTGCAATCAACAGAAGGAAACATTCAATAGCCGGCCAAGCCAGCTTAGAGTGATTGATTGCCACACACGAGCAATCGTCAGACATTCTGGCGACATCCCTTATGCCGCGTTGAGTTATCGGTGGGGCAAAAGCAATGGCGAGTCTCAGGATTGGCAAACAGACATGCTTCCAACAAGACTCCCTTCAACGGTAGAGGATGCTATTCGAGTAACTCAGAGTCTCGGCATTCATTATCTTTGGATCGACGCATATTGCGTTCTTCAGAAGAACGAAGACGATTTCAAGCACCAGATTCGCCAAATGCACCTCATCTACCGATCTGCTCAAATCACGATAATAGCAGCCGGAGACGCGGATGCCAGTTCAGGACTGTTAGGAGTTTCGATCCCACGGGAAAATGTGCAAACAAAAGGTCGATACAACGAACTCAATCTAGTCACGTTCTCGCCCTGGCCTTGGGCCTTGGTATATTACACCGAAGGATGGTTCAGACGTGGCTGGACCCTTCAGGAAGGTTACTTCTCAAGGCGGAGGCTCATCTTCACCGAGAAACAAGTCCTATTCGACTGTGATGAAGGCGTCATTAGCGAGGACCTACAGCATTCTCAGATACGCTATCATTCCATGTTAGAGAAGTGGCAGTCAAATGTGGACGGAGAGATCATCTACGATTTGATTGAGTCGTATACTGAGAGAGCCCTCACCTACGATGTTGACATCCTCAATGCATTCGATGGTATTTTGGGCGAGTTCGAGCAACAAGAGCCACCTATCAGATCATACTGGGGTATACCTTTGCCTTTCGATACATCCGGGTATATGAACGGGCTTCTCGTTGGATTGTGTTGGCGCCATGATATCCAGAATGAGAAAATCAATCGCCGGTTAGGCTTCCCAAGTTATTCTTGGGCAGGATGGTTGCACAATCCAAATGCAGTGTATCATATACGAAGAACGCCGAACACGACCCTAGTGGTCCCAAAAGACCTAGCGATCCTATTTGAGAAAAAGGATGGGCTTTTGCAGTCTTTGCAAGACTTTGAGAAAGCCAGTCCGAATTCTACCCAGCGGCACCACTATTCTCAGCGGATATTTGTTTCAGCGCCATCATTCAAGGTCATGCTACGCAAGAGACCTGTTTTTGGAAGACGTCTTGGTCGCGTGGTACTTGGCCACGATGCATCGGTGGTGCGAGGTGGACACGACGTCTGCTGGTCCGAAATGGCGCGACTCGACATCCCATTCGAGTGCCTTGAATATTCGCATGTCGGTCCGGAGACCACTGAGATCAGAACTTGCTACGCTATATATTTATTTCGCGCTTACGAAATGAAAGATCGGTACGATGAACCCATGGACACAGTTTTCGCGTTCCTCCTAGTACACAAAGTAGGGTGGAATTGGGAGCGAGTCGGTCTATGGTTACAACCATTCGAGGCTGAGGCAGGTGCTGAAGATCCTCCAGTGATCACTTACATGTTTGTACCATGGCTCTCAAGCTCTTTTTCTTACAAGACAAGGGACTTTTGGATTACATGAGCTGTGGATTTGTATTCGAAGCAAACTACATCAAATGGCCGGGAAATTTTGGTCAATATCTCTTTGAGAAGATGTTGGAACGGACCAAAGATCTCCAAGCGTGATTTGAACATCGTACGATTAACTTGATCGATGGTTATGTGTAAGAGATTATCGGCTTTAGCCCATGCTCATAGTTTGAACAGTTCTAAGTGCGGCCTCCATCTAACTCTGTGCCTACACAAGACGCCGATCTTCTAACTCAAGACTCGCGGCATGGTGCATACCACACTCGCTCCCATACTCATTCCCATGCTCGTGCGAGGCCGCTACCCTAACATGATTCTCACCTCTCTCGGTGCAAAAGTCCGCAGAAAGCTCAATCGTAGACTCGGTATCGGGACAGGTAGACGTCAATGTCCGGCTACATCCCCTCTTGGGAGCACTACCAAAGTTCGGTGCGGAGTTTGGATTGCCGTAATTACTGGGGCCAACGGATCTTTTGTTTGATCGGAGATGGGTGAATATACCGCCGCAGGAGCGTAGGGCGGGTCGGAGGAGAGGGAGGGATGCTAGATGGTGACTGTCAGCGACTTGGTTCGAGGAAAAGATCTAGCGTATATGACTGACTTGCAAAGGATGCCAGGTTCACATCGCATACTGCCCATATCTGGTCGTCGATGCCGTCGTATGTAAGATCTGGTTGGGGGTTTCTGCCAAGGGCGACCGTATGAGCAATGGTACCGAGTGCTGAGCCGCAGACCCTTCGAATTGATTAGTAAGATGTCGATGCATTGGTTTTGTGCGACTTACAATAGGCCAGCTGCAAACATTGCCGCTACAGCAACCTTGCGTGCTGTCGAGATATGCAGTCTGGATATCTCATAGAGCGGACAGAGTAATATCGCGACCTCAAGAATGAAATGAGGAATGGCCGCAGCAAAGAGCGACATCATCGGCGGCAATGTGCACTTGCCTGGGATGTCTTTGTGCCAGAACTTCTGAATCGGCTGGCATTGCATCGTGATGAGGACAACCTTGTGAGATCAGCTTACCGCCGTTAGAAGTCGATTTAGATCGCTTGCTTACCCTGACAACGATCCAGCATGCTGAGCAGACGAACAAGATCCTGATAGGCTGTCGGATGACGGAAAGACCAAATGTTCTCCAGTAGAAGCCTAATATGACAAACTTGGATAGCCCGACGGAAAACGTGTAGAACCACATATCTACCCATAGTTCTAGGAAATAGTGGTACACAATCTCGTCTTCTGCCATGTCGATGTCGTGTAGTGGCCTTCCGAGTCCCCATCGCATCTCTGGTCACCGTCAGCGCTTAGTTGTTAAGACTGCAGAGTAGTACATACTGTATATACTGATGAAAGTGAAAGCACTTCCGGTGGACTGCCCAACTGTAAGTCTTGTGTCAAAACAAATTCGAGTATACATACAAACGCAATCGCAGCCAAAACATCTTCCCATACCAACGGATGGCTGGTCTGACGGCGTGCAACCAACCGAAAGACAAGCGCGACTGCAGCGGCAGTATAAGTTATAAGCGCCGCTGCGTAGAGTTCGGGTTGTCGGTTGTGTCCCATGGCGGGCCACAAAATGTGTCGCACAAGGATAACACAGATTATCAGCGATTGATATCTAGGTATAATGAGACAACGCTCGTTTGTACACTAGCGATGAACCTTGCTCTTTTGGGACTAGCGTGGTGTTGTACTGAGAATGTTTGGTTTTAGAATGAATGAAACAAGACACTGCATGCAAAGCTGATTCAGAGAATTAGATCCTATTAAGATGGCGAGATGAATGACGGGTCTGCGGATGTAGTGCTTCTCGCACCTCATAGCTGATGCTGGTAACAGTCGTGCAAGGCAGGACAGCCCTTACTCAAATCACAGCCGCAGCGGCCACCTGAGCGGTCGGTTGGTGACTGATAAGCGCAACGCACTCGATAGGATGCATCTACCCCAGAGATCGCGAAGCTGCACGATGTTATGGCTTGGACTGATGTGGATCTTGCCGGGCTCAGGTCACTTTGCAGGATCCCCAACTGCATATTCAGGTGATCTTAAGGTGAGCTATGATGCAAGGCTCGTGTTTGCCGGCAGGCGAACACTTGGGGTTCAGCCAGGATGTTTCGCAGCTCGAACATCTATTTTTTCAGCACGGTCTTACTACGTAGACCCTAGGGACTGATGTTTGAACACTGGTGATCATTGTGGTCTCTGCTCCGCAGGCGGGCAGTTATGTTGATCGATAGACTTGAGATAGCATGCAGGCCGTGTTCGGTGGTATTGCCGCAACTTCTTCTGCATTCTGGTAGACTGTCGTGGGGTTCTCTGCGTGTAAATCATTATGCTGGTGCCAGTGGTGGTTGTGTGCGCATCACCACACAAAAGCCCTCTCCGTCGTGTATTCGTAAACGCGGAATGAGTGCGCAGTCCAAGAATACCAGGTATACGCTGCTGATGACCGGCCGATTTTCAAATGTGGATCAACGGTCCTGCATCGAGATGCATCTACGGATTGTGATTGTTGTTCCGTGTGGGAAGGATCCCATTCGCACGGATCTGTCCGCAGGGCGCCCTGGCGTAACAGCGAAAGAACTCAAGACCAGGTTCGTATCGGACAATCGTAACGAGACCTCGGGCCGGTCGTGTATACCGGTTGTCACAAATATCTTCCGATTGGCATGATGTCTTTATGGCGTGGTTTAAGCCCGTGGGATTCCCTAAATCGAACCATGCCGCATTGCGATCGGTCTTCCTACGGAACTTCAGATGCCATCTCAGGGTCCGCGCGGCTATCATGGCTTGATGCTGAACCCTGGATGTGGAGATCTCCAGTCGTTACTCGTTGCTACTGGTGGACTAACGCCAGACGCAGGCTGAGGTGATTCATCTGCATATGCGTGGAATATATGCGCAAGATTGTCTTGCTGCATCAAAATGCGCGCCCTTTCCAATCCTCGTCGAACCAGAGGCAGATGCGTCCATGGCCGCAGTAATTCATATCCATTGCGTATATGCTGCTCCTGCTTGGTTTCTTCGATGAAAGAGAGAGCCGTATGGTTGTACGCTATGAGTAAGGTTGCGAAGCACGCAAATGTTCTAGATAGAGTTAGTTAGAGATCGAGATGTTTGAACGCAATGACCATACGGGTATAGTGTAAAGTGCGTTCCCATCTTTCTTCCCATGAGTTGCTCGTCCGCTACACTTAGAAGCAAGGCTGAACTCTTTATGCAGTGTCGCGCATGCTCCCTTGTGACGCCAATCGTTTCGTTTTCCTGAGCACTGGCCTCCCCTTCGCTGTTCTCGAGTATCCTAAGTACTGAAGGCCAGCCAAGCACTACGTGTAGAGCCATGTACTGAATCCTTAGGAAAGACTTCCTAGAGTCAAACAGCGGCGTCGAATCCAGGGGAAACCGAACGGCAGAAGGTAGATGATGGTACCATTCGCGCACTTGTTTACGTAGCTCGCCAACGACGACGGGTGCGAAGATGACCTGTCCTGTAACTGGAAGGGGCGGTCGCATGGTAAGTGCACGTAGCAAAATTGACTCTGCAGAGACACTTACAGTAACCGACAACTTCAAGAGTCTGTGTCAGGAACTTCCTAAGGCTGATCTGCGCCAGAAAGAAGTAGAAGCCTGAATCCTCTTCTTCGAACTGGGGAAGCGGCACCAATTCATGGAAGTGGCGTAGTCCGATGGGATGCATTTTACATGTCGCCTCAAGTCTAAGCACATGTTGCATTAGTAAAGTCTTTCGCTATCGAGGCTAACGATGCAAGCCGCGCTTGGACAACTTACTCGTGCAGCACGGTGGAGCAAGCCCAGAACGCTCGGTTGAATGCTTCTTGGTCCGATGGGCTGTATCGTTGCATAGTTCTGGAGCTCAAGATATGCATGCAGTCTCTCGCAGCCTGCGTGATGGAGTTCCATGTCTGCAGTGGTCTGATAGCGAACTTGAAGTACGAGGCTTGCAGTATCCGACACTGAAGGCTAGCTAGTCCGATGCGAAGCGATAGGTGCTCGAGGAGGCGACATCCACGTGCAAAGTACTCCAACCCTGGAGTGAGATTATTCGTATTCTCGTTCCTATCTTCAGAGATTGCACCAAGGGCCAGTATCAGAAATGCTAGGCATGTTGATGCACTAGGGTGCTCAAAGCTACTTGAGTCTGCCTGTTCAAGCGCACTGACGCAGGTTCGTTGATCGAAGATAGGTGTCCACCGAAGGAAGTTTTCCACAAAAGATTGTTGGAGTCGTCGGCACGTTCGTCGGGATAGATCCACTGGGCATGAGATGACTGCGTCACACTGATCTGCCAGTTGTTCACCGGCTAAGATCTCATCATCGTAAAAGTCAGCTGTGTAGTCCCAGCTCTCCACATGGATGTAAGAAGGTGCGTGGAAAGTAGTGAGGCTAGGCCTCGGAGTTTTTCCTTCGGTGCTTGTCTGTCGATAAGCAAAGTCATACGATACTGGTGTACCAACTGATGGAACAGACATGGTGGAGTTGTTGATCGTTTCAATTGCCATTCGATTGGCGCTCGAGTGTCGTGATCTGGAATCTGGGGGTGGGTGCATATCGCTATGAGTAGAGGTGTTGGGTGAGAGTGCTGCAGAACCAGGCGCATATTGATTCGTAGATTCTAGCTTGGCTTCAACCTGTGCCAGTCGTCTTTCAATGCTTGACCAGGCCTCTGACGGGGGGCCGACTGGTTTTGTGCGGTCGCCGACTGTTGGCTTTCGGTAGGTGCACTCAATTCCGAGCTCAGTACAGAAACCACAAGACTGCAAATGTCAACAAAAGCATATATGAATGCAATTTTGTCTGACCAACCGGCTTCTGGGCGTCACAGCGTGTCTTCCGAAATCTACAAACATTGCACTACGAGCTATAAGTAATTAATGTCGGAAGTCAGGGGTAGTGTTGCCTACAGCTATCGCTATACGTTTTCTGGGGTAGCTCTCGACGACTGTTAGACTGCCCGCTGGGCTGGTAGACGGGCGGCCGTCATCAAGTGGAAGTCGTGATTGGTCAGATCCGGGAGATTCGCCATGCTTCCGTTTTTCGGCCATGACAGCAGTCGATGATCGGAGATTGATGTAGGCAGCGAGCAAACTGCATGGTGCGGGTGGGTCGCGCTTTCATAGGAAATGGTCGTCTGGAGTGGACGATTCGGCTGGCGGGTGCCGTCCCGTGTGGAGACCCCGCATCCTTGTGTCGCCTGCTGGGTTGAGCAAGTAACCTGCATGGGACTTATCCTACGCAGATGACAGGCCAACGTCGAGACATGTGCTAGGTGGTTATTACACGATAATGTACACGGTTGAAATTTCATACGGCAGCCCGTGCCATGGTCTCTTTAGTCTCCTTCTCTTTCTTGCGCGCTTCACGTTCCGCCTTGCGCATAGCTCGCAGATCCGGCGGCTTCTCAATGCTGAATCTAGTTCTTAGCGCGTCGATATCCGTCTCCAGCTCTTCCTCCCAGTAGATGTTGATTACATCGTCACTTTGTGCGCCGTTGCGTGTAGCCCACGGCCCATAGACGTCCCAGAAACGTCTCCATTCAGCTTTCTTCAGGGTGAAAGCGCTAAACACAGCCAAGCCAGTCATAGGCAGGCCGGTATTGGCGAACTCGAATGCCTTAAGAGCGACCTCGCCTTCACGGAAGACGGGTAGTCCAACCAAGGCATGGTAGAAGTCGTGGCATTCGCGATACCGCTGCATGACATATGCACACTCCTCGTCGTCTATGTACTGTACTGGCGCCCGTGTGTCCGGCGAAACACCCTCGCGGTCAAGCCATGCCGCGTATGCATAGCCCAATGTGTTCGGAGGGAGTTTGCGGAGGCGTGGAATGTCGAGCGAGGTAGATGTCAAGCGTGGTCGGTCGCGTAGTATTCGTCGGCCCGTTGGATTGAGAAGCATGCGATCACGAAGCTTGTAGATGAAGTAGGGTTGCGCGGTGGCTTCGCCAAAGGATGCAATGAGGTCTGGCTTGTGTGAGCAGCGACCATGGCATCAAGACTCTGGATCGTATCTACCTCCTCTTCGCGGGTCCAGGAAACTTCCAAGACCCGAGCCGATTGCCAGCCCTAACCTTTCCGTACGCGTCAATGGTATGTGACCCTCGTAATTTGGCGGAGGGCGATTGAGGACGGAAAAACAGCGTGTTGATAGCGCGAATGATGACGCTTGGAAGATTGAGCCCGATGCCAGCTTTTGGAGCTGACATGGTCGCACACTTCTCGCCATTTACGCGTTTTGGGGAGGGTTGCGGACAGCGTGGGTTTGATGGTTCTCATCTGGTTCGAGCCGATATCATGACGCGATTCTTATCGATACGCCACATGCACCAGCCACGCCAAAGTATTAGCAGATGACTCTTTGTCCAACTTCCGGACTTGTCAGCTGCAACATCTTCGATTGCTTTTTCAATAAACGAGATTTTACTTTGCAGTGGATAGACTTCCCTTCAAGGTAGCTCACCAAATTCTTCAGATCCTGACCCTACAAAGAACAACTCCAAATCAAGATACTGTGTATCCGCTACTGGAAGGAACCTTCGGTACGATAATTGACTGTCTCAACCAATGAGATATCTACAGTTCTAACAGATGTGAGAGTCAGGATCAAAGGAGTACTTTCAGCCTTTAGGCTATCAGCATCATCCACCGCAGCCATGACTGCAGCACTAGACCCCGGCGAACAACATACCCAATTCGTCGACTGGGCCAAAACCAACGGCGTTGAAATCGATGGAATAGCCCCAGCACGCTTCATCGGTCGAGGAATGGGCATCGTAGCTGCAAAAGATATCAAAGTCAGTCCAACCCACCAAAGCCACCCCCAACTCAAACCCCCCAACTAAATCATCAAGAAAGGAGACAAGTTAGTCCACGTCTCCAACAAATCCCTCGTCCATGTGGCCCTCCCTTCAATCCAAGCCTTCAAGCTCCCCGAAAACGCCACCGTCCATGGAAAACTCGCCGCCTCCCTCTCCCTATGGTACAGCGGCCAGGAACCACACGGCTACCAACTCTGGCAAGACGTCTGGCCCACACAACAAGACTTCGCATCAACCATGCCATTCCACTACCCCGCATCACTCCAGTCCCTCCTACCACCAGCCTGCAAAACGCTCCTCACGAAACAACGCTCCAACCTAGAAAAAGACTGGTCAACACTCTCACCGCACCTTCCTCCCGCCATAACAAAGTCCCTCTACACATACACCTGGCTCATAGTAAACACCCGAACCTTTTACTGGGAATACCCAGACCTACCCAACGCCCACCCCAGCTTACCTAAACGACGTGCAAAACTAACAGCAGACGACTGCTACTGCATGTGCCCGCTAATCGACTACTTCAACCACTCCGACAACGGATGTCATCCCGAACACAACAGCCAGGGTTACTCTGTGACGGCCGACCGATCGTATTCTGCGGGCGAGGAAGTCTTTGTCACGTATGGTTCTCACACAAGCGACTTTCTGCTCGTAGAGTACGGTTTCATCCTTGAGGGAAATGTTCATGATACGCTGCCTTTGGATCACTTGTTGCTGCCTTTGCTGGATAAGCAGCAGGTGGATGCGCTGAAGGAGGATGGCTTTCATGGGGACTACACGTTGTTCGGTGCGGGCAAAGAGGAGATTGTGTGCTATAGGACGCAAGCTGTGCTTCGGTTGTTGGTGCTAGACTCGAGGAGGTATTCGGCTTTCGTGTCGGGGGATGATGATGGAGTAAGGGATCAGGCCAAGCTGAATAAGTACCTAGCGGATGTATTGACTAAATATTCGAGGGAAATAGTGGATACGTTGGAAGAGGTAGAGCAGCTGGACTTGGGCGAAGGGGGAAATGAGGTTGCGGAAGGCCAGAGAGAGACGGTGGTGAGACGGTGGAAACAGATACGGGGTATCGTCAACCAGGCCATCAACGCACTTGCTTCATAGGAACTTGCAGACAGAGTCGGTATCTCAGAGCGCTTGTGGATTCAATTGTTCAACATCCTCAATTTGTAACATATATGTCATAATCATTGAGCTGTGGATACCAAGAGTTCTACTAAGAAGCCTGTTGACCTTTTACGCTTTCAAGACACGCTACTAAACAAATGTTCATCTACCACCTATGCCACGCTACCCACCACCAATGCTGCAACACCCTCTTCCTCGCTCCTTACATCGATCTTCATGGTCACACCAGTCTTGGCACTGAAGGCCATCCGTACCGTAGCAGCAACCTTGCCACCTGTGATAGTCTTGCCGTAAAGCTTGAGAGTATGGGTTGATGTCGACAAAGCGACATCTGTACCTTCGAGAGGCTGGAGGGATAGGGTCTTGGTAAGTTGTTCGGTCGCATCTGTAACGCGTCAGTCATTCGTTCATCATTAGTGATAGCTCGCAACTTTATCGACGTACCAGTTATGCTCTTCATGTTGCCCAACTGCAGTGTTTCAGTCGCCGAATCGCCATTCGACTGTTCCCAGACATTATCAAAACTGCCTGCATATGCCGGAACAACGTAGTCGGCACCAGTGAGATAAAGATCCTCAACCTGGTACTCATCTGGATACCCATCACCTTCTTCTGGCTCGTTTGTGCTCGGATCGATTTCCTTGCTTGTGAACTTGAGTACGTTGGTAAAGCTCGCGGCGATGAACTGCGATTCGGTCTCCAGGCGCTTAAAGGATACGTAGACTGTACCAGGCTCGTTGGTGACGAGCTTTGGCGCTGGGATGACAAACTCTTCTTCTAATTGCACGTCACCGTCGTCTTCCGGTGTAACAACCATCTCGACATCCATCAATACTGTGTCCTCAAGAGTGTTCTTGATGTCGTACTGAATGACAATGTGATCCTTGAAGATGTGCTTAATGGCAGTAACGACGTATTCGGTCTCGGATTCTGTGAGCTCGACGACATCGCTTGACTTGAGCACGCCGCCGTGCGCAGCCAGTTCTGGAATCTTTTGCAGTTCCGTAGCGTATTTCTGCGCGTTCGATGCTGCGTTTGCGGCGGCATCGGCACCAGCTTTCGAAGGCGCCTTGGTAGCACTGGGTGCTTTGAGGGTTGGGGTGGCGCCTTCGGTTTTCTTGGTAAGGTCTGCCGCATCTGCTTGCTCGCGCGAGACTGTGGGGATTTTGGTGATGTCGAAGGCTGTCTCGAAGGTGTCGCGGGAATCCGAACTGACGTACATAGCCAGCTGGTGCTCAAGAACAGGAAGAGAGAACATGGAGTCGTTACGGATGAAGTTAACAGCCATGTCGTCGTCCTCCTGGTCCATCAAACGAAGACTGAGCGCAGCGCGATCACGGACCTCGTCATCAACATCGTCCAGACACCTTGTGAGGAGGACATGGACAGACTTCTTGATTTCCGGGTCCTTTTGTCCGACGCCGAACTTGGACAGAGCAGAGGTCGCCGCAGCCCTAACGATCGCATTCTCCAGGACTACGCGGTTGTAGATGTAACGGATGTATTTGGTGGGGTGGGGTGTCGAAGGACCTTCACGTCCAAGTACGAATAGAATCCTGACGGCGAGCTTTGTGAATTCGCAATCCTCGATGAACTCGCAAAGTGTAGCCAGCGCATCTTCCTTGGCCTCAGGTACGAAGCGAATGAGGTCCATGATAGCCTCGACAACAGATCGCTTGAACTCGTAGCCGCCTTCGTCGCGCAGAATGCCACTGAGGAAAGCAAGGAATCCAGACTGCTTCGCCTTGAACTTCAGTGCCAATGTTCGGACAGCTTCTACAATGGTGACCTTGAACTCGTCGGTGATCTCAGCCATGAAGCCAGTGATTTGCTTCATCAACCTGTCAACCGAAGACTCGTTGCCCGTTTTGAGGAGTGTGGTGATGGCAAAGGTGGCGATGCTGCGATTCGAGTTGGTGATGAGCGATTCGATATCCTGGTTGCATGAGCGAACGGCGTCGGGCTTGAAGGAAGCCATTTGCGACAGGATGCGGAGGGCGGCAAACTTGGTGACGGCGCGAGGAGAGGTGAGGAAGAGCTGGAGGACGTGGACAGCTTGTACGAGCTCGGCATCGGTAACGTCGCGCATGTCGCAGATGGCCTTTGCAGCCTCGAAGTTGACCATCTCCGACTTGTGGCGCAACCAGCCGTCGAGGAGTTGCATCATAGGCTGTGGAAGTTGTTAGTAGACATTTTTGGGTGGGGTTAATGTAGCTCACCTTTCGCAGGTTGGGGTCCTCCTCAGCGAGCTTAGCTGCTAATCTGACCAGCAAGACAGTAGCGGCAGGGCTCTTGACGACACCAGCAGCAGAGTACTGCTGTACCATCTTGACCAAGCTCATCCTGTCGCCGGCGCGCATTTGGTATAAGAGACCAATGGCATGGTATTGTGTCATGTAGTTTGTGCTGGCCTGGAGAGTGGTATGTGAGCCCCCTCCAAAGCCTCCCAAGAAACCACCACCCGACTTGCTTCCTGACGCGGCCTCGGCGGCCTCTGACTGCCATCTTCGGACGACATCCTTTGCGACTGGGAGGAGGTGGTACGACGAGACGAGGGCGGCGGAGGAGACTGAGGGGTTCTTGTCGACTATGCACGTCTTGACGAGACGCTCGATGGCCTGGACGGTGGAGGCGTCGATGACGCGGCAGAGGGCGCGGATGGCGTTGGGGCGGTATACTACGTCGCTGCCGACGGAGGTGTCCTTCATGATAGAGGAAGTGACCATGATGACATCGTCGGCGGAGCCAGCGAGCTCCTTGATGACCAGGTAGACCATCTGGCGGAGCGAGGCATCCTTGTTCTGGAACAGCTTGGAGATGCCAAAGAAGAGGGTCGTGGCTTCCTGGCGCCCCCAGCTCTCGCCGGTGAAGAGCAGCAGCGCCAGCTTGGTCAGGATCACTCTACATTTCCTGGGCGAGATGGGGCTCTGGTTGAATACTCGTGCTGGACAGCGTCAGCGTCCCCCGCCAAGCTCTGGCGCATGCGGGAGGTGCCCTACCTTCTTGGAAGACGGACGTCTTGTCGATCTGGGCGACTCCGCCGGCGTCCTCGTGCTTCTTGTCCATGGTGTCGTGGTGCAGCTCCGCGTGCTAGCTCGCGGTGTGTGTATAAACTGGTCCCGCTCTTCCTCCGCCTAACGTGGCCTCTTGCGACGGGGGGGTTGCAAACGTGTCCAAGTGCGGCCTTGCAATTGGAATTGGTGGGCGAGGAGACGTGGACGGGGCGGGGCGAAGTCGCAGTGGTGTTTGCCTGGCCGTCTGGAATTGGCGACGTTGAAGATGCCCTCGACCAGCGCGAGCAAGTGCACCTGCAGGGATGTCGGCGTGTGGGCTGCTCTTGCATGTTCCAGGGCTTGGCGCTCGGAATGCGCAACTCAATGCGGTGCGGGTATTCAAGGCTCTGCCGCGCAAGATATACCCAACACCTCCATTCACTCACTATCCTTCTCTCTTTTTGTACGCTTACACATACGAACATGGCAGCCTCAATCCCACGATCGCGATGTCTCTTCTCCTCGTCCACATTAAAAGCTGTCCCTCGCTCAAGGACGCCGCTTAGAACTTTTGCCACGACCTCCGATACGCCGCAAACCGCAGTACCAGAAGCCCCCACAAAGCGGTCACGACCGCCGACGTCTTTCAGCGATACACTGAATGCCGGTCCATCATTTGGCGATTTCGTCAACCCCGAGGCGCCCCTCTCCCCGGCCGAAGCATATGAGATCAAGACGGTGCAGGTGGGCCCGGAAGGCCGCAAGAAGACCATCACACGACTTCCAGAGTGGCTGAGAACGCCAATACCCTCAAACGCAAACCAGAACTACAAGCAGATCAAGAAAGACCTGCGCGGGCTGAATCTGGCCACAGTCTGTGAGGAAGCAAGATGTCCCAACATCTCGGATTGCTGGGGCGGAAGTTCCAAGAGTGCGGCAACGGCGACCATAATGCTCATGGGAGACACATGTACACGAGGCTGTCGATTCTGCGCCGTAAAGACGTCCAAAGCACCTCCACCACTGGATCCCCACGAACCAGAGAACACCGCTGAAGCGCTGCGGAGGTGGGGTCTGGGCTACGTCGTCATCACCGTGGTTGATCGCGATGATCTCGTGGATTCCGGAGCGCATCACATTGCCGAAACCATTATGAAGATCAAGCAAAAGAACCCGACGCAGCTTGTTGAATTGCTGGGTGGAGACTACGGAGGCAATCTCGAGATGGCCAAGGTAGTCGCACGGAGTGGTGTCGATGTCTTTGCGCACAACATCGAAACAACAGAGCGTCTCACACCATTTGTCCGCGACAGGAGAGCCAAGTTCAGGCAGAGTCTGGATGTGTTGAGGTCGGCCAAGGAGGCGCGCCCTGAGCTCATCACCAAGACCAGCATGATGCTGGGCTTGGGCGAGACGGATGAGGACCTCTGGCATGCCTTGAGGGGTGCGTTCATACAGCCTGATGTACCATGAGACTAAACTAACGTGTACACAGAACTCCGCGCAAATAACGTCGACGTCGTAACCTTTGGCCAATACATGCGCCCCACCAAGCGCCACATGGCCGTCCACGACTACGTCACACCCGACAAATTCGAACTCTGGCGCCAGCGCGCCCTCGACATGGGTTTCCTATACTGCGCCTCTGGCCCACTCGTACGCTCAAGTTACAAGGCCGGCGAGGCCTTTATCGAGAACGTACTGAAGAAGCGGAGGATGGGCAACGCAGGAAAGAGCGAAGTCGCAGATCTCAGTGTCGCAGAAGAGACTAGCGAGACGTTGTAAATATTAATATTCATGTAAACAAGTCATCGCTTTCATGCGACTTCGGGATTACCTCAACTCGATCCTGAGTAGAAGTCTGCTTCAACCAGGCTGTTCAATGTACAACACCTCTTCTGACCACATAAACAGTTTTTGACAGCATTTAACTCATGTGACGCCTCAACAAGCGTCGAGAAACAATGCATCTGTGCGCTTCTT